TCATTTGTAATATATTTGTCAAGAGATTTTTTCCAGAAATACAAAAAAGGCTCAATATTAAGAAATTTATTCACCATATTAATAGATTTTTAAAAATCATATGAACACCCACTTAGTTGTTACTGCAAAGGCATTTGATAAAATTCTAAATTCATTCCAAAATGAATTCAGAAATTACTAAAAGAAACCATAGGACAATTTAGAAAAATAATTTCAGAACATGGAGGGTCCTTCTTAGCAATCAGTTAACTTTTGATGAACCCCATCCAGTGGGATATAAACATGGAAAAGTTTTTTCTTCTAATTACTGGTTTCAACTACATTGTGTCATTCATCTTTTCCCACCCCTTAATTAAGATCTAGGAAAGAGTCAATGACTTTCCAGTAACTTCGGGTTATTAAAACTCAGTTTAACTCAGTTTGAAACCCTAAATTGATCCAATTCAAAGCTTTGTCCTCGCTATCATCAGGTAGACTTGTGCTTGAGTAAAGAAACTATAACATTTATAATCCAAACTGGAGCACTCTTGAGTGAAAGTTAGCACTAGTAATAATAACATCTTGGTTATGTACTGAGGCTATCATGGCTAAATCAGATGATGGCCACCTGAGATCAAAGTACTTGAAATGGGGAGAGGGGAGTCTCCTCTGCTATTTCAAGCCTCCTCCCCTGTAGATTCTATAGCTTCTTCGGTGTTGGGGAGCAGAAAGGAGAGACAAAGGAGGCAGAAGCCATCTTGAATGTCTGGTAATATGTTGGTGGTAAAGAGATATTCTTGGATTTGTTTTATTTTTTATCTGTTTATTCTTTCGAAGTGGGAAGATCACATAGTCCAGCACCCTCTTTTTACAATTAGAAAACTAATGCTCATGTAGATGGGATGACTTCTGAGAGGTGGCCAACCTAGCAGTGGACTTGAGCATGTCCTCACAACCCCCATCAGTGTCCTCTTTGCTGCACTACAGCTGCCTCTCCTACATGTGCCCATCAGAGCCAGGAACAGGTTGCAAGGCCTTGGGAGGTACTCACCTCGGATGTAATATTTAAGGAGTGCCAGTGCTGAGGTATCGTCTGAAAACTCGACCAAGTAGACATCTGCTTCCAAAGTCACATGGTTGTTGGTAGAATTTCAGTTCTTTGGGGGCTGTTGGACTGAAAGCCTCAATTCATGCTGGGTGTTGGCCACAGGTTACCCTCATTTCCTTGGTCCTCTCCCTATAGCAGCTCCCAATATGGCAGCTTGCTTTATCAAAACTAGCAAGGGGGAGGGGCACCTGGATGGCTCAGTTCGTTGGTTAAGCCACTGCCTTCAGCTCAGGTCATGATCCCAGAGTCCTGGAATCGAGTCCCATATTGGGCTTCCCTTGCTCTGCAAGGAGCCTGTTTTGTCCCTCTCCCTCTGCCTGGCCACTCCCCCTGCTTGTGCTCTTTCCCTGTCTCTCTCTCTCTCTGTCAAATAAATGAATAAAATCTTAAAAAAAAAAAAAAAAAACTAGCAAGGGAGAGAGTCTGCTATAGAATCTTATTTAATCTATTCCTGGAAGTGAATTGCAGCACATTTGCCAAATTCTAGCATTTACAGCAAGTCGCACATTTCCACATTCAAGAGAAGACCCCACAGGAGCATGAATAACAGGTAGTGGAGATCACTGTGGGCCATATTTGAGGCTGTCCACCACACAAGCAATGCAGCAGAATTAGTGTGTGGTGATAGCTTCCATTAAGGGAGGCAAATGGTATTTTCTAAAAAGTGATACCAATTCTATATAACATGAAAAGCACAACCTCAGGGAAAAAAATGATTGATGGGTAAATCTATCCCTGGCTCCTTTACATGATATCAGGATCACAAATGTGTGACTATGGGAGTCCTCTGCTAAAACTAGGAAATGGCACTATGTGACAGAAGTAGACTAATTTGTCAGATTGCATTTCAAGAAATGTTAGAATCTCTGGGCCTGCAGGCCTGAGAACAGGAGAAGGAAAGGGGGAAAAGAAGTACTATGAGGTCTAGTGGATAAGACATTCAGTCTCTACCCCTATAGAGAATTCTGTGAGCTCTGCAGTTAAACATGATTGAAAATTACCAACTCAAGGCAAGTTCTATAGGAATCATTCTCAATGAAAAGATCTGTGTCCCCAGCTCTGTTCCATTGCTCACTTCAGTTTAACGATTTTAATGAGCAAATAGAGTTAACTGGCCTTGAGTATCTACAGAGCTTCAAGCCAAAAAAAGGAAAGAGTTAAAAAATAAGTCCATTTTACAATGGACACATATTAGTAGCTCAATAAAATTTCTAACCTCAACTAAAGTAAAATAGAGAGTGCCCTGCTATGCTATGTTATTTCACAGAATAGGATTTTATATATCGTGGGTAAGTACAGCTACTAATGATAATGGTAAGACCAAATATATAGTGAGAGACACCATAGGAGAGAGAGTAAGAGTGCAAACTCTGGAGTTAGACTGCAGAGCTTCAAACACCAGCTCTTCCTGTGACATTGGGCAGGCCACCTAACCTCAGTCTTCCCATGCACAAAATACGAATAACAGCACTTACATTCCAGGGTAGATGTGAGGATCAAAAAAATTGATATTAGTACAGTGCTGGCTAATGTTATGTACCCAGTACTGTTCTAAGTCCTCGTATGTAATCCTTGTAAACCACCAGGAATTGCCTCCACATTTCACTCTCCTACCAGTACAACATGAGTAACCATGACAGTAAGTTTTAAACTTCCTGGTTTTTATCCTTAAATTTCAGACTTTATTCTTAAATTTAAACAGAGTTATTTAGATCAAAAATTCTGCTAATAAAACTGTGTCTAAACAGACACTTAACACATTCATTTTCTTTACTGTTTTACCAATAGTGTGTACCATGAATTAGGTAGTTTTAAACTTCTGTTAATTTCCTTTTGTAAGTAGTATGATGACACTGTCATTGCAGCAAGAGACCAGTAGATGGCTGTCCACAGACAGGAACAAACACCTATAGTAAGAGTCTTTACAAGATCATTTTGAAAGAGCTACAAAAATCAGTAAAGGAAAGCTATGGATAGATATGTTGAAAACACAAAGTTTGCAATGGTCCTAAGAATTTTTTTTTTATTTTAAACTGAAACGGATATTTAATTCCACCTTTTCACAGTAAAATCTTCATTAAACTGCTAGAGGAAATACCTATTTGGGTATAACGTTCCCAAAGACCAACTTGGTTAATACCAAAATACTTATAATCTTATAATATGCATAATTGATCTAAGGCATTAAGGATGGCAACCTGTATTTTCTTCTTTTGGATAAATTGTCAATTTTTACTTTTTCTCCAATATCTTACATTATGTTAGAACATTACCTTTTTAATGAAAACATGGGGCCTACAGGAGCAGTTAACTTTCAAGAGAAAAATAAAAAACAAAATGTCTCAACTAAACACAAATTTGAAAAATAGGCTTTCGTGACATTTTTCTGTTATCTCAACCAGCTGTTTCCTGAGTTCTGGTCACATCTACAATTCTTCCCTTACATGCTGGGCCACAATTAGCCTTTTTCTATACTGAAATTCTTTTCTAAGGTCAAGGAAGTTAATTTGTTCACAATTTTCTCAAGTACTTGAAGGGGAAGGGAAACCTAAGAATAAATGTACCAGATTTGTTCCTTTAAAAAAAAAAAATCACAAACACAGTTCTCAAGCATTCCTACTGGTAGCCATAGCAGTAAGTTAAAGCCCTGAGTTATGAAGTCTCATTTAGGTTACAGCTAGTAAACTAAGACCACAGATTTTCAGATTTTTTTGCTGCAAATTCTCCCAATAATGGTTTTTACAGCCAGATGACACTTTAGAATAACTGAACTAGAAATACACAAACTTTAATATTTAAATTAACTGGTAAATGGCAGAAAAATCTATATACATATATTTATGAGCCAAAGAAAGCCAGCTATTAGCTATGCCCAATTATCACCAAACAAATAAATTTGTGCTATTATTTGATAAAAGCTTTAAGTATGATTTCCCTCCAAGGAACAGAAGGGAAAGGCTCAAGAAGGAGCCCTAATGGGAGGGGTCAGAGGTCTGTCCTTCACCAGTTCTGTGTGTCTGAGCACATTTAACTCTTCTGCATTCAGCAGTTCACATGTAAAATAATGAGGTTATTTATTCTTCCTTCTGCCCTGTACCAAAACCAGTCTTACCTATTTCCTTCCACTTAACCACTCTGTCATCCTTAAGTATATGTGTCCTCCTTACGCTCTCTCCTGGCTACCCAAGACAGTTGACCGCTCTTGGTTTTTCCACTGTACTTTGTCCCATAAACTCAGTATAACGGAGATCTTGAAGGGTCTTATCCGATATTACCTTATCCGAACAGAGAGGCGATAGCATGTTTTAGAGTTCGGGAGACGGCCTAGGTCTCCAGGGTGGGCCTCCGGATGCACAGGATAATCCCGGCAGCCAGGCATTTTTGCCCTCAATTTCCTCCAAGGGAAAGAACCCAAATTCAGTGCTTTCTAGAAACGAATTAGATGGATCTGCCGCTCTGGGAAGCCAGAAGGCGAAATATCCCGAAAATGTGTTTCAGGCTATGAATAAGGTTTGAAACAACACGACCAGGTGGTCAGTCATTTTCCCCAATATCTACGTGAGTTAAACTCAGAGTAAGTTACCCACCTGCTCATAGAAAGAGTGCTTCGGTTTGTATAGGAAGCAACATTTGCAGTGTAAAAACTACACGAGTCTTTGCAGAGGCCAGGGGTAGGTGCACCAGGAAGAGGAGTTTCTCGGGTTTTAGGTCATAGTCTCCCTGTCATCTCTTCCAGGTGGCCAGAGGACCGTGGTAACTGCAGGGGCGGGGACGCCGCCTCCCGGGGCTCTAAGTCCTCCCGGCCGAAAGGGGGCACCCACAGCCACGCCTTTCCCGCCAACTCCTCGAGTGCTCCAGCCCCGACTCGCGCAGCCGCCTCGGGAGCCCTCAGGACAATTCCTCTTCCGGGGCAGCGCGGAGGCGCGTGCGGGACCCGGATGCAGACGGGAGGGCAGCTATATAAGCGCCTCGCAGGCCTCACGCCTTCCTCTTTGAGGAAGACGCGGTCGCAGGTCCGGCGGTGCTTTAGACGCCCCGCTTGTGCTCCTGACTCACCGCTGTTCGCTCTCACCGAGGAACAAGTCGGTCAGGAAGCCGCGCCGCAGTCATGGTGAGGCGGGGGTCGGCACCGCGCGGTTGGGGACGCGGAGGGACACGGTCCCTTCTGGGGACGGATTCCGGGATGGGAGGAAGCGGTGGGAATACGAGCCCCACTTACTCTGTGGAGGAGGTCGTGAGATGGTAGAGGAGCCTGGGAAGTCCCTTTAAGGTCGTTTCCAGGCTTTTAAGAAATCTGTCTTTGTTTGTGTAATGATAGGCTTTTAAAGACACCGGGAAGACACCCGTGGAACCGGAGGTGGCGATTCACCGAATTAGAATTACTCTCACCAGCCGCAACGTAAAATCTTTGGAAAAGGGTCAGTATGGTATTTTCAGGTTGAGACCTGTGGGCAAAAAATAGAACGAACTTGTTTTTGTTGCTGTACAGGATTGACTCAGGACTCAAGTGACAAGTTGCTTAACTTAGAAAAGGCAAAGGAGAAGGATCTATGCTTAACTGTTACGGTGTTTTTTAAACCCTTGTTGGCGATGAGGAGACGATTACTGTGTTGAACGATGATGATAGTTTTATACGCTATTCTGAGCCAGCATCAGCTAAAATTACTAACGCTCTGACTGTTTTGAAAGAACTGAAAAGATGCTTTTTTTTTTTTGTAGTATGTGCTGATTTGATCAGAGGCGCAAAAGAAAAGAATCTCAAAGTGAAAGGACCAGTTCGGATGCCTACCAAGGTGAAGTAAATCGGGGGGGAGGGGAGGAACACAAACTAAAAGAAAAATTGTTGGTAAAACTTGGTTCATGTCCAGTGCCTGATTTTCACAGCTAACTGTGAAACTGTTTCTCTTGGGTGGGGTATGGTGCTTTTCTAAGGGCACTGTCTTGGCTGAGGAAAACTAATTTGCGGTCATAAATAGATGGTGATTTCGGTAAAAAGGAATGATGCTTTGGGAAGTATTAACAAATGAAATAAGGAAGTACTAGTTTTGTAGGTGTTCTAGGGATAAGCATAAAACCATAAATGCTTGGTTTCCTTTGTCTTTTGTTGCAGACTCTGAGAATCACTACGAGAAAAACTCCTTGTGGTGAAGGCTCTAAGACTTGGGATCGTTTTCAGATGAGGATCCACAAGCGGCTCATTGATTTGCACAGTCCTTCTGAGATTGTTAAGCAGATTACATCCATCAGTATTGAGCCAGGAGTTGAGGTTGAAGTCACCATTGCAGATGCTTAAATCAACCTTTTTAATAAATTGATAATCCATTGTTAAGGCTTGTTGACTTTTTTCCTAAATACCCACGTATTTTAGGAGTACAGAGTTGTACTACAAAATCCTTGTCCACCTTTTGCGTAGTGAAAATTAGGTTAATATTCTAGGGATGGGTGGTCTGTCCTGTTTTCATTGTATCTTAAGAGGCCACTAAAGCAATTGGTTCTTGACATCACCTGAAAACTAAGTTGTATTAACTAAATACATGGAGACATTAGCATTGATGAATGTATACAATGTGGTGGTTCATAACTGGCTGCGTATTAGCTTTTCCAAAAGACATCTGGGTTTTAATCCCAAAAATTCTGATTTTAAGTAGATACAGGGTGCTTTTGTAGTCAGGTAACTAACATGGGAAATACTAAGTTCTGCCAATTAATACATCCTTTCTCTTGACATTACGCTAGAGTAAACTTAGCAAATTGTTAAATATTTTGGAAATATTGGCCTTTATATTAAGCAGTTTTGCAGAGAAGTGTTTTAATTAACAGGTCAAAAAAAGACCCAGTGTTTAGGTTATATTTATAGAACTGTATATACAGGCCTTGGAGTTTCTTTTAATGTGGAGCTATACTAATGTGTAGTTTATATATAAACATTTAATAGATGTGTGTTAAGAGAAAAGCGTGTCATTAGTAGAGCAAATTTATTTAGGCAGACCCCTATGACACAGTAATGGATAACATTGTTTAGCTACTAGACTCTATGCTTTTTTTTATTTTTAAAAATTTAGAGAGCAGGACTGCTTGGGGGGCAGGGTAGGGGGAGAATCCCAAGCAGACCCCACTGAATGTGGAGTCTGACAGGGCTTAATCTTACAACCCCAAGATCTTGACCCGAGGAAAATCAAGTCAGACGTTCAGTCACCTGAGTCACCCAGGCAGTCCACTGTTTATGCTTTATTTTCTTAAATGCTGTTCTTGTGCAAATCTGGAAACTGGCTGTGAGGTTTGGCTTGCCTGATGACTGGAGCATTATTAGTAGCATAGATGAGATTTAAATGGGCTCATGGAATGAACATCCTCTTGATGTCCCATAGAAGTATTGAAATGTTTGCTTTTTAGGTTGTATAATCCTCTGGATATCCTCAATAGGCCTAATTCTCTATTAGAGAAAATTTTGTAGAAAAAACAAAATTTTTGCAAATTACAAAGTTGACCAGAAAAAGTCACTGTGATTAGAATTAAGTCATGAAATGCCTTTTTCCTGGGTTTGGACTTAGATCTTCACTTCTCTGTACTATGTTGTCCACTGTCCTCAGTTACCATGTGTGTTCAGACTTCAGCTGAGATTGCTCTGTACATCTGCTTGTGTACTAGACAGCCTGCACCTCACGCAGTTCAAACCTGACATTAAGATGAAAATCCTCTTCCCTCCTGCAAACTTGGGTTCTTTCTCAATCCATGGTCCACCACACAGCCACGTGGGTCACTCAAACATTGATTTCACATCTATCTCTTCCAGTATCCAAGTCCTTGATTCTACTTGTTTTAGACTTCAAAAAATAATTCAGACATCAGGGATTTGAGTGGGACTGAATCTGGAAAGAACTATGCCAAGTTGATAAACTCAAAATCTCAGGTATTTTTTAACTAATTATAATGTAATGAACCAATTAGCTTGGGAAACTAAAAGATTTTACTGTAACTGTTCAATAAACATTGCCATAAGCATAGTACTTGAAAAACTCCACAATATGAGTCTAGTTAAGGTAAGCATATAGATAAGCTGTATGAGGTAAGCAGTGATCCATTCTTAGAAGCTAGTGTTTTTGGTTTACACATGAAAGAATTATTAATCAGAAGCCAGGTAGTGAGCTACTGGCCTGTTTTCCAGTTTTCTAGGCTGAAGAGAGCTGTTCAGGTAGTGTTAAAATCATTTTAAAACAAGTACCTGGTATGTGGCCCCCAGATAGAAGTACTTACAAGCTTGTTTTGATGATCCAAATGTACTCCAACACAGAAATCTGGAATATACTCAGTACCCAGAGAACTGGTTGAGAAAATGCCAGTCCTATGAAAACATGGCCACTTAGGACTAAAGAGTAGGGAAAGGGGTGCCTCAGTAAATCAGAAAATGTTGAAGTTTTGTGGCCTTAATAACACTTGTGAATTTTAGCTGATATGTGCCAAAGTAACTAATATATCAGCAATTGTAATTTTCCCCTTCAGATTGTTGGAGTTGTATTTAAACTATAGGTAATATTTAGAGCTTGTAATAAACCCAAAATATAGCACTTAAAATATTAAAGCTACTATTATCTTTGATTCTTCAAACATTTAAGAACTACTTGGAAACAAAAGCCCTGCAGGATCTTCGGATATATAGAAACCAACTAAAGGTAGGTTAAATCGTGCTAATGGTGCCAGTGATTCAGAGTTAGAGGCCAGCTTGTATGGATTAGAGATGTAAAGAAATATTGGAAGTGGGAGGTCTCCAGTCCTCCCCATGGCTGTGCCATTTGCTGATCCCATTTCCTCACCTGACAGGGATACCTAAGTGCAAATGTGCGAACGCTAGATACAGAGCGAACAGGCAAGAGAAGTAAAAATTCATGGCCATGCTGTCAGATATGCTCAAAAGGTTATTTGGGTATGTGAGCTTGATAAAATACTTCTTTGGGCCTCAGTTCTCCTGTGTAAAATAAAAGTATCCGAGTATATATGCGTGTTCCTTTGTCTGTCTCTGGGACATATTCCCACCAAACCAAGACTGGCTTGCTAAGGGCATAGGTTTCTCACACCAGGACCTCAGTTCCCACAGGGTAGGGTACACTGCTAGCCAGTGGTATTAGGTCAAATGACATTTGCAGAAGTATACATGAATCCTTGGGGGCATGGCCTTTCTGTGTCCTTCGCCCAAAAAGTGACCACGTAGGTCTAACTATGCTGGAGAACCTGGCAAAGCCAGTTTTACCTTTTGAAAGTAAGATGAATTATTTCCTTCCTCTTAGGAATAGTATATTTCACTTTTATAGCAAGTTAAACTCAGAGAAGTGAATCCTTCTGTAAACTTTTTCTTTACGTAGAACCCAACCTAAGAAATAGTTAATATTGTATTATTTGAAACTTCATATACATGAAAGTAATTATAGTCTTCCTTTAGCTATATAAAATTTGTATCTTTTTAAATATAATTGAGAATATTCATTCTGTAAATTATTTTTATCATTAATTATGTATCTGGGAGATATTTTTATATTTGCACACACTTCATTTCTTTCAGTGAATTTTACATTATATGGATATACCTGAATTTAAATAACCAGAATTTATTTAGTAATTAGTTAATTTCAAGAATTAGTCATTTATTTAAGAACATTTACTATATGCAGCTCTTATTCTAGGGTAGATAGAAGAGATTTCAGTCATAGAATATCAATTTTCAATTTTAAGATACTAAAATTGATGCCTTACATATTTCTGCCCATTTATATTCCTACCAGTAATGAAAGTGCAATAACATCCATCTGATAAAAAATATTTTATCCCTGCCCTCCATTTGTTTATTTTCTCTTTCTGGTGCTCCTATTGATTGGATGACCTGGAGGTCCTGTATGTCTCTTAGCTTTCTTTCACATGCTCTTTTAGTCTTTTTTCATTATCGAATGTGGGATATTTCCTTGAATTTCTCATCTAGCTCTTTTATTGATTTAATTTTTCATTTTAATACCCTTTTCTATTTTAACTCCATTCCGGAAAATTTCAAACACACATAGTTGTAGAAGGGATGGTATAATGAACCCACTCAACTTTAAGAATTGTCAACTGATGCCAGTTGATCCAACTTTCACCCCCCCCCGCAAGCAACCTTCAGATTATTTTGAAGTTAATCCCAGACATCATAATATTTCATACACAAATTTTTCAGTGTCTAAATTGAAAAAAGATAGGACTCTATTTTTTTTTCAGTTTAGTAGTGTTAAGTATGTTCACATTGCTGTGCAACAGATCTCTAGAAATTTTCCATCTTGCTTAATAAAATCTATATCCATTGAAAAACTCCTCATTCTCCCCTCCCCCCAGCCCTTGGCAACCACCATTCTAGTTTGTTCCTAAACTTTGACAACTTTAGGTACCTCATATAAGTGGAGTCATAGAGTATTTCTTTTTGTGACTGACTGGCTTATTTCATTTAGCATAATGTCCTTACACTTCATCCTCGTCCCATATAAGATTTCTTTCTTCTTGAAGTCTGAATAATATTTCATGTATGTGCTACATTTATTCATTCTTTATTCATTTATCCCTCCATGAACATTTGAGTGGCTTCTACCTCTTGACTATTGTGAACAATACTGCAGTGAACCACAGGAGTACTACTATCTCTCAAGACCCAGCTTTCAAATTCTTTTAGGTAAACACTCAGAAGTGGGATTGCTGGATCATATGGTATAACTGTATTTTTAATTTTTTGACTTTTCCATAGTGGCAGCACTATTTTACATTCCCACAAGAATTCCAATGTTTCTACCTCCTCAACAACACATTTACTGGGTTTTTTGTTTGTTTGTTTTTTTTTTGATAGTAAACATCCTAATGAATGTGAGGCAGTATTACATTATGTTTTGATTTGCATTTCTCTAATGATTAGCGAAGTTGAGCACCTTTTCTTAGACTTGTTAGCCATTTCTGTATCTTTTTTGGAGAAATGTCTGTACAAGTTCTTTGCCCATGTTTTCGTCAGGTTATTTTGTTCTTGTTGGGTAGTAGGAGTTCTTTCTATATTCTGAATATTTAACTCATTATTAGATATGTAATTTGTAAATATTTTCTCCCATTCTGTAGGTTGCCTTATCACTGTTGATTGTTTCCTTTGATGCACAGGCTTTTTTAAGTTTGATATAGTCCCATTTGTCTATTTTTGCTTTTGTTTCCTATACTTTTGGTGTCATATCCAAGAAATCATTGCCAAATCCTATGCCATGAAGCTTTTCATTGGTGTTTTCTTCTGGGATTTTTATTGTTTAGGCATTAGTTTAAGTCTGATCAATTTTGAGT